TTTTTTTAAAAAGCTAAAGTGGATAGAAATACTGTTAATTGATGGTACATGGAGGGGATTATACTCATTGTAATGAAATAAGGTGTATGATTTGTTGAATGTAAAACTGATGATCTTCACTCAATCCACAATAAAAATCTTTTTTTAAAAAAAGCTAATTGGAAACCTTACCACTTCAGAAAGACTATAATTACTATTAATATGTTTGGTTTATGTTCCTCTAGAGTTTTTCTGATCATTATTTCTAAGAGAAAACTGTATATACTGTTACAACTTATTTTTCCCTTAATTATGAATTATTCTTAATTATTCATACTTAATGAATAGTTTTTAATGTCTCCATTGTGTTATATTAAATAGATAATACCATAGTGTGTCTAACAAATTATTGGCCTTGTTAATTGTTAACTATTTGACACTTAAAGTACCCTTGATTTGTTTGTTAATTGTGGTAACTAACACTGCAGTAAACATCTTTATAAGTACTTCAGAAGGCATCCTGACAAACATTTTTCCTTAAGACTGAATTCTGAAAAGTAGATTTGCTGCAGCAAAGGACATAACCACAAATTTGGTGGGCTTTGATTCATATACAAGTTAACTTGCAATAAGATGATATATCAGTTTCCAACAACTCCTTTAATATGTGAAAAATGCTAGTTTCTCCAAATCTTGACACTGAATTTATTATTTGAGGCAAAAATGGTGTTTTTTTCTATTTTAATTTCTTTCCTTTGAAACATTTTTTCATATGATTATTGCATGTTATATTTCTCTTTTGTAAGTTGCTTCTTTGTATCAATTGCCTTTGTTGTTACTTTCGCTATCTTTATTTCTTCATTCTTTCTGGTTGAAATAGAAATCTTTCTTTTTATGTATGTATTTATATACATTTAGTTGTGCAAAAGCTACCAACGCAATTCTTAAATGTGCATGAGAATCACCTGGAGTGGAGAGCTTAGCACATTATTGCTGGACATATATCCGAAGAGTTTCTGGTTCTGGTTGAGGTTGTTGTTAAGTACCGTGGAGTCGGTTCCTACTCATAGTGACCCTGCACAGGGTTTCCGAGGCTGTAAATCTTTACGGGAGCAGAATGCCTCATCTTTCTCTTGTGGAACTGCTGGTAGTTTTGAACTGCTGATCTTGAGGTTGGCAGCCCGACTCGTAACCACTGTGCTACCAAAGGTAGGGCCACATATTTTCATTTCGAACAAGGCCTTAGGTGACACTGATGCTGTTCTAGATCATGTAAAGATTTCCTTCCTGTATACATTTTTTTTCAATTGAAGAATGCGATCAAGTTTACTTTTATTTGTTTAGTAAAACATGATCCAGAAAAGTTCTCTATCAACGAGAAGTAGTATAGAATGATATGAGACCCTAGCAGGTGAGCGTCATCAAATCAGTTTCTAGTCATAAGTGAAATTCTCACACTCTTATTTTGAGATGTTTTAGTTCTTCCACAACAAGGAGCGCTGGTGATACAGTGGTGAAGTGCTCTGTTGCTAATGCAAAGGTTGGAGGTTCAAACCCACCAGTTGTTCCATGGGAGAAAGATGTGGCAGTCTGTTTGTAAAGATTTACTACTTTGGAAACCATATGGGTCAGTTCTACTTTGTCCGATAGGGTCATTACTCAGCAGCAACAGATTAACTTTTATTATTGTTTCCCCAAATATTCTCCATATACCAGGGAGCTTCAAAAATCCTAGGAAAAGTGGAATTAAAAGATAATGGAATTTTTCCATCAACTTTCTGAAGCTACAACAGTATTACATTAGTTAAAGCATTTAAAAATATAGATGCATTTTTATTTATAGTTTTTAAGTTAAAGAACACGTTACAGATTTGCCTTTTCTTATATCATTATGTAGTCCAGGAAACTTGTTGGTCAGTTCAGTTTTATAAGTTTTAAGAGCACTAGAAAACTACTGGTTCAGTAAAAACTTGGCAAAATAAATTGTAAATTGTATTGTAATTTAGCCCTGGTGTGGCTAATGGAGAAGCACAGGACCACAAGGTTGGTGGTTCAAACTCACCAGCTGCACCTTGGAAACCCTACACAGGCACAGGGTCACTGTGAGTTGTAACGGATTCAATGGCACTTAACAACAACAACAAAAAACATAATTTTTATAACTTAGTATCTTTTTGGATACTTTTAAATACCAAATTTTTCAAACACTTAAAGATGAGAATAATTTTTACTTGAAGATATACAAGGGGGGCTTAAAAAAATTTGTGGAAAATTCTGTTATCATTCTATTCCATTTCTCCATGACCTTTTTGAAGTTCCCTCATAAGTGTATAATTACTTAAAAGCTTAATAGAAACTCAGTTTGCTAAAAAAGTAAATACTAAGGGTTTTGCACTGGACTGCAAAGTCGTTTAACTGCAAAATTGGTGGTTCAAGCTCATCACCTGCTCCTCGGAAATCCTATACAGAGTCGCTGTGGGTCAGAACTGACTCAGAGGCGCTTTACAACAATGATTTCTATAATGTTTGCTTTAAAATGAATATGGTATTTAATTCTTTTAAAAACAGGAAATTATTGGAACCTTTTTAGCGATTTTGTTAAGTGCCGTCAAGTCGGTTCTGACTCATAGTGACCCTGTATAGGGTTTCCAAGGAGCGACTGGTGAGTTTGAACCGTTGACCCTGTGGTTCAAACCAACCTTGTTGTCCAGTACTTTAGTGATCTTAGTCTAAGGAAAGTTGAAAAGAATGAAACTAGGAAATAAACATACTTGTTTTGTTTAATTTTGTTTTTGCTTTCATTAGCATCCTTTAATAAACAGACAAAATAATAAACCAAGCAAAATGTAAAGATTTCATTAATTTTTTGCATTTAATTTATAGAAAAAAGGAAGTCACTGTACGCTATACTATGTAAAACATGCTGTTTCTTGTAAACCAATAGATTGAATGACATGCTGGGTTTTTTGGTAATATTTCAAGTATGTTTTAACTTTTTAGGTATTGAACAAAGGATTAAAAGTTATAATGTTGGTCGTGGACGTGGTTTGCAGAAGAAAATCAAACGCAAAGATCGTGGGGGAAGATCCAGTAAAGGCCCTAATGTTTTTTCAGGAATGGATGATTTTCAAGAGGTACGGAGGAGAAGAGGAACTTTTCCTTTTTCTATCTGTTTGGTTGCAAGGAAAACATTGTGATTTTAACACACTTTTCCAATAAATGAAAATTTTCTGGCTCAGATAACATGCATATATAATTTTAATTTTACTTAGTTATGATAAGAGGGAGCTTCAGAAAGTTTGTGGAAAAAATGGAATGAAAAGATAATGCATTTTTCCATAGACTTTTTGAAGCCATGCCATAGTATATAGGTGTATATTTAGGTTATCTCAAAATAAAATAGATATGTTTGAAAGCAAAAATATAGTCCTTGTCTGTGTTTTCCATTTCTAGGAGTCATCTTCTTCAGGTGCAAATGGCTGTAAATCTAACAGCAGAATAACAACCAAGAAGGGTGGTGGTGACGTGGAGTCGATTCTGACTCATAGCAACCCTGTACAGGGTTTCCAAGGCTGTAAATCTTTATGGAAGCAGATAGCCTCATTTTTCTCCCGCAGAATAGCTGGTAGCTTCGAACTGCTGACCTTGAGGTTCACAGCCCGATTTGTAACCACTACCCTACCAGAGCTCTTAGGAGGGAGGTGGTGGTAAATAGCCCTTTGAGTTATTAGAGTTGAAAGAGGGAAAAGGGTATAAATGGCTGTAAAGATGAAGTCTTTATGTGCCTTGCATGTAGTAGATATGGAATAAGTAAATGTTGAATTGAACTCTGAACTTTCCAGCAACTGTCTAGAGTAATACAATGCCTGTATTCTGACGCTGTTCTAGTAGAATTTGGTTTAATTATACAAAGCAAGCATATGTTATTGGAAGTTGCAACCTTGAGTGAGATTTAAGGGATAAATACATAATATGATTTGAAAATTCATGGTTTTCTGATTTCTGAGTTTAAAGATTAGAGGCAAAGATTTCTTAATATGTATATTATTTTAAAGATGTTAGTAGGTATGACCTAAAAAAATTAATTTCAGGCCCTGATAAATTTGTGACACACAGCACATGCTAATCTGCTCTTGGGAGTTCTCAATGAAAAATTTAAAAATTCTTTAATACCACTGCAAAAAATGATACCAATCATGTCTCCACAGTGCTCTATACTCAGCTAGGTTTGATCATTTGTTGAGGTGGCCACCCAGAACTCAGACACCATGCTCAAAGTTATGGTGTTGATTAAGTTACATAGATCAGGATCAGAAATGTCAGGACGCTGTTCTTTCAGTCAGCTGTGCCCACAATCAGACGTCTCTCTCCGTGCCATGCTATAAAGCTCTTTTAGGGCTGTAGATAAGTACACATAAGCTCCCTGGTTGCCTCCTCAAGGCATCCCACTCAGCAAATGAGTCTCCTGCCCAAATGCACTGAGCTTTACAAAAGTTCTGTGGCCCAGGAAATCCACCACTCTGTTTTGTGTTCTGTCTCTTGGTTCTACTGCTGCTGGTCCTTTGCAATCCCTCTGCTACTCTCCCTGGGTCAAAGATGTTCAATGTGAAGGGAGTTCTGGGTCAAAAGGATGTACTCCACTTCTGGTTTTCTTCTTGGTGGTAGTGAGATTTCTCCCCCTTTTGCTTTATACCTATGTTAGAGTTTTAAGGTTTTACAATCAGAATCAACTCTTAATTATTCAAAGCTGAATCATATCATACTATAAGTATCTCATTCCATTTTCTCTTACCCAGACCCGGCAGGACAAAAACAATGTTTTGTGGAAATTACAAATACTATGGGTAGAAGAGCCATATGAAGTCATTCATTGCTCTGTACCCACCATCTAGAGACATATACTATTGAAATTGGGTGGTATAGTCTTCTAGTCTTTTTATTCTTTGCTTTTATTGTAAAATTAGGATCATTTTTCACATAGTAACATACTGTTACTGTTAATGTTCTCTTATGCACCAATCAAGTCATTTCATTACATGTTTTTTTTAATGACTGCATAATAATATGAGCTCTGGTACCACAGTGTGTTATGAGTTGGGCTAACCACAAGGTCAGCTGTTCAAATCTGCCAGCTTCTTCAAGGGAAAAAGATGAGGCTTTCTGCTCTTGCAAAGATTTACAGCCTTGGAAACCCTCTTACAGGGTCACTATGAGTCAGAACCGACTCCACAGCACATCACTGCCCCTTCCACCACCACCATCACCATAATAGTCTACCATGGTTTTGACTTACTGCTTATTTTTGCATGTGTAGAATGTTTCTAGGTTGTTTGGTTGCTTATTTGTTTTGGTACATAAGTAATTCTTCAGTAATTTTTTTGTGTGTGAATGCATCTTAGTATGTCTCCCTGATAATTCCTTTAGATAAATTAAAAGTTCAGTGTCAAAAAATAGACAGGCATTTTAAAGTCTTACAACATATCTGCCAACAATACATGTGGATGCAGATTTTATTATACTTTTGCTAAAACTGAGTACTATTGGACACTTGAAAAATTTAATTCTAAAGACTGTAATTAAGCACATTCATTATAACAGAAGGAAATAACAAACAGCATCAGAACCTCTAATCTTGATCACTTTTAATAGTTAATTTTAGTTAATTTGTACTGTATCCCAGATCCATATGATTATACATTTTAATTCCTATTAATAGTTCATGTAGCATTCAAATGAATTTTTTTCTTACAGAATAGTAAACCAGGGAAAAAATGGAAGGTTATGACTCAGGAATTTATTAATCAGCATACAGTGGAACACAAAGGAAAACAAATTTGTAAATATTTTCTGGAAGGAAGATGTATTAAGGTAAATTTATTGGGGTATCAAATAATTTTCATTTTCAAAATAATCATTAAATTTTAAAATATTTTTTGGGGAGATTACTTTTTTGTGTCTCATAGTTTTAAAGAAACAGGTTCTTCAAGATATATCTTGCATGGGAATAATGTATATTGGGCTCATTTATTATATTAAGGAATAATAAAATTTGTTGAAATCAGATTTTACTTGACATGTATAATGCTGATTGTGTGGTAATTATTTTAGTAAGTGGATCATAAGTATTAAGTTAGTTAATCCTTATAGAAACTCTATGAAGTAGTTTCTGCTATTATCCCCATTTTATGCATAGCACCAAGATTACTAATGTACCTATCGAAGGTCAGCTAGAAATGATGAATTCTCGTAGAATATAGGCAGTCTCTGAGGCCAGAGCCATTTCCACCTCACTGTGCTGACTCTGTGCCCATAGACTCTTAGCCACATCCATTGTCTTAGGCAAGAATTCTAAGAAATTGTTTAAGTTATTAGCTCAGTATTGAAAGACTGAAAATATGACAGTATTCCACTTTGAAACACAATGGATAAGATTCTATTTCTTTGTTTTTTTGTTTTGTTTGTTTATTTCTCTCTCTTTTTTTCTTCTTTTGTGAACAGGGAGACCAATGTAAATTTGATCATGATGCAGAGTTGGAGAAGAGAAAAGAGATCTGCAAATTTTATTTGCAAGGATATTGTACCAAAGGAGAGAACTGCATTTATATGCATAATATCCTTTACTGAAATACGTTAGCCAGAATATAAAGGTTTTAAGACATTGAGGTTTTAAAACATCATAAATACAATCTAGAAAGACTAGTTTGGTTTTAAATTTAAAATAGCATATTAATGTAAGCCCAGTCTAGAAAGTTTTTGCACTTTAAAAGGGCAAACTGAATTTTATTCTGTAGGGAAAATGACGTAACTTTCCTTTGGGGGGGTGGGGAAATCTAAGAAATAAGGGTGCTTTACAAGTAATATAATTAGTGTGAAGTATTTCAAGAGGCAGTACTTCCCATAGGAGAATTTGCCAAGTATTTATTTTATGATTTAATTATTTTATATAGCTTCATAAGTTAAAAATGATCATTGTTGAAATTTTAATATCAAAGTCTCATCATTCAGTGATAAACACTGTATATTCCTTACTTTTCCCTCTTGAAGTCAAGTCTGTGCATTTATATTGTATCCCTGTCCCCAGCCCAAATTGGGATTTCACTTATATGTTGGGTCCTGTTTTGTTTTTTTAAGTAACATATTCTGAATCTTTGTTACTTTTCTTCCAAATATCTTGTTCTACCATTTAAGAGTAATAGAGCCTTTCTCTACACATTCAGATTTCTGTATGCTTCACTGAATATTTATGTGTGTGTTGTAGAGTATTTTTTTTCTTAGGCTATCTGTTTGTCTTCATGGATCTACTTATCTGCATTCTTTTGCTGTAATTATTTCTACAACAATATAGTGATATCTGGTAAAGTAGCTTTGCTCACTACTTTTGTTATTTTTTTTAAGCATAAAGTTTAATCTTGTGTCTATTTTTCCTGATAAATTTTAAGATAACCTTTATAAAAATGTTTTTAATGAAAGAGGAAGCAATACAATGAAAAGTAAAAAAAAAAATTCTGTTCTCATAGATCTAAATGTAAAAAACTAGACCATTCAATACCAGAGGAATGCTTTAATTAATTCTTTTATAACTCAGCAAAGCAGAAAACATTCCTAGCTATGACTCAAAATCCAGAAGCCATAAGGGAAGAGGTTAAAAATTTGGTTGTATCAATTTCTTAATTTTCATAACAAAATATGACATAAGCAAAGTAAAAAGATAAATATTTAAAGTGAAAACAGTTGTAACTTACATAACTTACAAAGAGGCAATATTATTAATATATGAGCTTCAGAAAATTGAGGGGGGAAATAGAACAAGAGATATATACAGAGCTGACAGAAAAAGAAGTACAAATAAGCCCAATATATATGAAAAGATAAGTCATATTTATAAGAAAAATTTGGGTTTGTCCTGGTGTGGCGTTGTGGGTTAATGTGCCAGACTGCAAAACCGTTTGAACTGCAAACCTGGCAGTTCAAACTCACCAGCCACTCCTCATATAGAAATTTGATTTGGTCCCTCTTTTTGAGCTGCTGCATCCATAGGTGTAGGTCAGGTTCATCAAATTGTATCAGATTAATCTTTTTTTTTTTTTCCTCTTCTTTCTTCTTCTAGTTGAGCTCTGATCATCTAGTCATTAAAGCCAGGTCGAGTTGGTATTATCTACAAGTGTGGATGTTCTTATGCATATGTCCTCTCTTCTTATCAGCTGGACATTTCACTCTCCACTCTAGTCCTCTGTGGCTATGTCACTGACTCTGAGCCCAAGAGTCCCCAGGTCTTGCCACACTGCTGGCCAACCAGGGCTCTACCTAGGTTCACAGGAGTGTATTACTAATACAGTCGTACTGAGTCAGTTATTTTTGGTCGGTTCCTTAATATTTTATTTACATGAATTTCCATGCAAATTCTATCATACTGGAGCAAAATGTTACCAAGGAGACAACTGTAAGTTTTCTCATGATGACCTGACTAAAGAAACAAAGAAACTTTTGGACAAAGTGAGTAAAGGTTCTATACCTTATTACTTAGCCCTCTCCACAGACTCACTTGACACGACTAGCTTACTTTCAGACATTGTGTATAATAATCACATGTTGTATTTTACAAAACCCTACTGAGAAATGAGGGATTTATTTTAAGTGGTTTTCTGTTAATATTCTGTGTTGGGAAAGCAGGGCTATGGAATTAGGAACCTTTTGTTCGTGATTTTGCATTTACTCAGCTGATTTAATTTGAACAATATGCTTTGCCATGTAGAACCTCATTCTCTGCCAAATATGATAAACTAGATGTCTACGATCCGCTTTAACTTTGGTATTATATATATTTCCCTATTAACAAAACTAGTTTGCTAAAGTTTGGGCAGTTCTAAGTATGAGGAAATGAGGTTGTTTTGAAACAATAATCTTTGCCATTTATTTTCAGGTGTTGAATACTGATGAAGAACCCACAAATGAAGATGAAAGAGAATTAGAAGAACTTAGAAAACGTGGCATAGCTCCTCTTCCCAAACCACCTCCAGGAGTTGGGCTTCTGCCAACCCCACCAGAGCATTTTTCCTTTTCTGAACCTGAAGATGATTTTTCGACAGATCTCCCTGATGATTTCAAGAAAATCCCATCTCTTTTTGAAATAGTTGTAAAGCCTACTGTGGATTTAGCACACAAGATTGGGAAGAAGTAAGTTAAATTTTTCAAAAATGGCAGCAAAAAAAATTTTTTTTTTGTAGAAATTGTTATTTGAAAAAAACCTTTCATTCAGTGATGATGTAACCAAACGTGGGTAGAGATAGTAGAAATCTGGCCTGCACACTGATGGCTGCTCCTCCGTCTCTGTCTTCTGCTGCCTGTGCTTTTCTTTTGGAATCGTTTCACAGTTTCAGAAGCCTGTTTCAACAATCCTGAAGGGCATTGCCAGGTGGGTGGGATTGTCATTCCTACCACCTGGTGATCAATTTCTTCTAATAGTGGGAGTGTGGAGGCTGTGTAGGATAAACACTAGACTACTAACGGATTGCAAAGTCAATTTGAACTGCAAGGTCTGAGGTCCAAGCTCACCAGCTGCTCTTTGAAAATCCTATATTGGGTCGCTGTGGGTCAGAACCGACTCATCAGCACCTAACAACAACTAATCACAAGGCTGGCAGTAAGAGCCCACTGGCTGCTCCATGGGATGAGTCTTTCTGCTCTTGCAAAGATTTACAGCCCTGGAAACTCTGTACAAGGTCACTGTGAGTTGGAACCAACTCAACGGCACATAAGAATAAACAAAAACAATAGGGAATTAATAACATAGCTCAGATTTTTAGAGAAGTGTTAGAGAAAAACTGGGTAAAATTTCCAGGATGCATTTTTCAGCAGTACAGTTTCCCCCTTGCAGCTCCATCCCAAGGCCTATGTAGTGGGTCTAAAATACCATTGCTGACTTTTCTTTCAGCCCCAACACTGAGGGGAGTAATGGGTCTCAACAAATGAGAAAGGAGAAGTCACAATATCTAATATCACAATTAATGTGAATTATTAAAATCAGAAAGACAAGATAATTTTCTATTCTGATAATAGAATAAATACTTAACCAATATCTATTTATAAATGTAACACTCTTAAAAATTTTTTTCTTTGAACTAAGCAATACTATTCATTTTTCTCTACAGTCCACCAGCATTTTATAACAGTGCCTCACCACCAGGACCACAATTTCAGGAAAGCAGCCCACACCCTCAACCTGCCTACAGCTCTGGATCTAGTCCAGGTCCTGTACCTACTATGTCTCAGGGACACGACAGTCCTGTGATACACCCAGGATCCCCTGGACATCACCCATGTGCAGTACCTCCTGGTTTACCAATGCCACAAAGTCCACCTTTGGCTACTGGTCCACCTGGAGTTGTAGGCCCACACAGTCAAGCTGGAGTACTTGTTCAACCAGGACCACCTTTGACACCACCTAGTATAAGTGCTTACCACTCCCCGGGCTTTCAAGGACATATGATGACTGTACCTCGAGAGAACCACTCGTCTCCAGGTTCATCTCACCAGCAGAGTCCTGGGGAAATGCAACTCAGCACCAGTTATGAGTCCCTACAAAACCCAGCAGAATTTTATGATCATTACTACTCACATCATGCTGTCCATCATTTTCAGCTTCCCAATAACTCTGATGGTAAGTTTACACTTTAAAAGAATTCATTTCTAATTTGAAAAAATTAAATCTTGCTTCTTTGTTAAAGGAAAGTATGGTAGTAGGAAGTATGTTTTCAATAAAACTAGGTAAAATATGATGAAGTTGAAACATTTAAATATGTTTTCAATTTAATCAAAATTTTTGAAACAATAGAATTTTGGATACTTAAAAAGTATTTTAAATTTTATTATAATTTGATTTTTAAATTGTGATTATTACTATAGCTTCAGTTTCTTATAACTGAAAGTAGTACTGTCAAGTGGAGTGGGTAGTAGAATTTTGTACTCTTTAGTCCTGGTGTGGTGCTGTAGGATAAGCACTGGACTGTTAATTGCAAGGTTGATGGTTCAAATCACCAACTGCTGCTTGGAAATCCTGTGCACAGTTACTGTGAGTCAGAACCGACTCAGTGACACGTAACAACAACAACATTATTAAATCAAAGAAACTCTGGTGGTGCTGTGGGTTAACCATTGAACTGATAATCTAAAGGTCAGCATTTCAAACTCATCGCTGCTCCTTTTGAGAAAAATGAGGCTGTTGTTTTCCTAAAGACTTAGAATCTCAGAAACCCTATATAGAGTCACTATGAGTTGAAATGGACTCAGTAGCCATTGTGAAGTGCTGTCGAGTTGATTCCGACCCATAGCCACCCTGTATAGTGTTTCCGAGGAGCAGCTGGTGAGCTTGAACTGCCAACCTTGCAGTTCAAACGGCTTTGCAGTCTGGTGCATTAACCCACAGCGCCACACTAGGACTCTGGGCTAGTGCTAATTCAAGGATCCCTGGTGTTGGTGGCACAGTGGTTAAGTACTTGACGGCTAACTGAAAGATAGGTGATTTGCCCACAGTTGCTTCATGGGAGGAGAGATGTGGCATTCTGCTGCTGTAAAGAATTGTTGTTGTTTTTGTTTTGTTAAGTACCATGGAGTCGGTTCTGACTCATAGTGACACCCTGCATAGGGTTTCCGAGGCTGTAAATCTTTACAGGAGCAGAACGCCTCATCTTTCTCCCACGGAACTGCTGGTAGTTTTGAACTGCTGACCTTGAGGTTGGCAGCCCGACTTGTAACCACTACGCTACCAGGCTTGAAACTGATGTTGTTCTACTCTGTCCTATAGGCTTGGTATGAGTCGGAATCAACTCAACAATACTAGGTTTGTTTTGTTGATTGGTTTTAGTGTTAAATTTGTGTCTCTTTCTGTGTTGTGAATATAGATGAGATGTGGCATGGTGAATTTGCCCAGCATCAGCCTCCCATGGTTCAAGACTCCCATAACCATGGCAGTGGGTCTGACGGAAGTAGCATAACAGTCCACAACCCCTTGACTGTACCAGGTCTCCTCCCTGCAGTGCAGAGGGCACTTTTTGTGAGACTTACTCAGAAATACCAAGAAGATGAAGACCCAAACAGCACCGAGTCTCACAGGGCACCAAGCAAGGAAGAAGGTGTGTCAGGTGTTATGATAGTGTCTTACCTTTTGGATCATTTAGGTTCTGAAGTTATGTTGAATAGGTTCAAATCTGACCTCTCTCTAAGGAGCCCTGGTGGCATAGTGGGTTAAGCATCAGGCTGTTGATAGCAAGGTGGTGCTTTAAACCACTGCCCAATAGAAAGATGAGGCTCTGTCCTGTAGGGTGGCTTATTGGGTTGGAAGTATCCCAGTAACAGTAGGTGAGGGGAAAATTCTTTATTCTTTTTCCAGTTTACCTTGCAGCCCCTATCTATCTTGGAAACCATGGTTTCCACCACCATGAATGATCTAATTATTCATTACAAACAACCTGACTTGTAGTGAATACATCTTAAAACTAGAGTGCTTGCTAGCCATGGAACAGCAGGACTTGCTATTGAATCCCTTCACTTTTCTAGGAAGGAAAGACATAGGACAAGAACAGAATACTTTTAAAGCCAGGGATTTTGACGGCTAACACAAGTTCAACATGATTCTGTTACTACAGAAAATCTTATGAGCACAGACTATGTCGTTGAATCAGTTTTAACTCATAGAAGCCTTTTCTGAGGCTGTAAATTTTTACAGGAGCAGAAAGCCTCATCTTTCTTCTGAATGGACCATAAGATACTAGGAAGCATCTAAGTTTGTGGAAAATTTCCATTACCTTTTAATTCTACTTTTCTATGAACTTTTGAAGGACCCTTATATTACTTTTTATGTAAAAAGATTACATAAAGTTTATCATAGTATTTTTACTTGGTATGTGAACTCAGCTGAAATTTGATTAGTTTATTCAGCTAATCATGAAAAAAGTTTCAAATTCTGTTTCTGAATTACAATATTGGTATGTTTGCCCACTGTTAAACGTGAAACTTGTGAACAACTAGGTAAAATTAGATGAACACTAGCTAGTTACAAGGAGTCCTGGATGTGGCACTGTAGGATAAAGCACTGGACTGCAAGGTCGGTTTGAACCACAAGGTCAGTTGTTCAAACTCACTAACTGCTCCTTGGAAACCCTGTACAGGGTCGCTATGGGTCGGAACCGACTCGACAGCACTTGTTAACAACAACAGCAAAGAAGGTAACATTAACTCTTCATTTAATATCACAAAAAAATGAGTTCTTCTTAAAAAGTTAATTTCCCACACAATTTAAATATATTCCTTTAAGTACTGAAAACCTTTTATGACAATCTTTTTATATAAACTCTTTATCAAGATTTGATTTAATAAACTAAAAATTTTCTAGATGATATAAAATGTTATACAATAAAATAGTACTTGACAATGTTCTGTGAGGGTTTGCTCTGTATACAGAAATAATTTTATACAGCTATTTTTAATGTGTTTGGATTTAGTTTTTATAAATTTGAATGCTTTTATGAATTTTATTTCTCTTTTGATGAAAAGCTGTTAATTCTTGTCTAGTATCTGTTTTCTGTTGGTTTATCTCTAATCCCCTAGTTTTCTTCTGTTAATATACTTACTGTCATTCCAAAGAGGATTTAAGGCTGTTTATAAAATATGAAAAGGACACAAAAATAAAAGTAGAAGCAACTAATACTATGAGAAGTGAAATTATTATATGCAGAGATATCTGAAAAATAATTGCAACAGGTAATAGTGAATCACAAGTGTAGCACTAAGCTTCCTGGAGGTAAAAGAGAAGAGAAAAATGTCTAAAATGTCTAAAAGTAGTTTTTTTTTTCAGATACTGAGATCTGAGTAAAACATTTTGCTATTGTGATATTGTTGTTATGTGCTATGGAGTCGGTTCTGACTCATACAGGGTTTCTGAGGCTATAAATCTTTATGGGAGCAGAAAGCCTCGTCTTTCTTCCATGGAACAGCTGGTAGTTTCGAACTGCTGACCTAGCAGTTCACAGCCCGATTCATAACCACTACCCTATTGTGATATAGCATATGCTAATTTAAACTACATCCACTATCTTAAATAACAATGCTTCTTTTGTAAGCACTGCTCTGTTCAAACTAAACATACAATACCAAAATTCCAGATAGTAGAAACATATTTATGAGTAGCAAAGTTAGGTAAAAACTAGACTATCGAGGATATTTTACTCATGAAAAATATTCTAGGAGTCTTCTTTCTCTTCCTCTCTGTCTCATAAAGTTCTGTGTTCTGACAAGAACGGGCAGAGTAGCTACTCTGTGACCAATTTAGAGCAATGTATGTGTGTGTTGATGGAGAGGAAATAGAATCACCCTCCTGAAGCTTCTGTTTGCAGAGTCCCTTCTACTCTTCTAACTCCAGGTGGCTAAACTTTTAAAATAATCCAACATACTGGGGTTCAATAGGCCTTAGAAGTAGGGCCCAATATGTTCTCATAAAGTTCAGATATATAGATTTTAGGATTTTAGTTTTACTCCTTTTAAAATTTTAAATGTTTGACAACTAATAATGCTCACAGAGGTCAAATATATAAACATATAATAAAGTGTAAATGAGAAGTCTCCATCCCTGTCCCTTATTTGTTCTGTTCGCATTACTCCCTTAACCATCATTTTTTAGTGTCTTATTTTCTTTCCAAACATTTAAAAAAATGTCTTCCTTGCTATCCTGATAAATCTAGAGCTCTGACGTTTAAGACTTGCTTGAATTAGAGATCTTCGTGTGGCGCTGTGAGTTAATGCACTAGACTGCAAAGCTGTTTGAACTGCAGGGTCGGTGGTTCAAGTTCACCAGCTGCTCCTTGGAAACCCTGTACAGGGTCGCTGTGGGTCGGAACCAACTCAACAGCACTTAACAATAACAACAACAGTACACTTTAGAATTCCTGTCCAAGAGTCTTCCCTTTGCACCCAGTCTCTCAGTACATGCTCCCTACACTATGACTTTCCTGCAGTCAGTTGGATTGAGAGGTCCTGACTTTTCTCTGGTTGACAGGATGTTGCATATTCTTTTTAATCTCACTTCCTTTGCAGAGTAATAACAGAATTGATCATTGTCTGGCCATATCTTTATCTTGTGCCAGTGTTGGAACTCTGGCATTTCTATCATACAACTTCATAGGACAGAGTAAGGAGCTCTGGAAGTGTAGTGGTTATGAGTCAGGCTAACTTCATGGTCAACAGTTCAAAAATGCCAGCTGTTTCATGGGAGAAATATGAGGCTTTCTGCTCCTGTAAAGATTTACAGCCTTGGAAACCCTATACAGGGTCGCTGTGAGTTGGAACCGACTCCACGACACATAACCACCACCACCACTACCATAGGACACAGTAGAATTGCCCCATTCCTAACTGCAATCTGTACAGAGCAGATTGCACAATCTTTTCTCCTGAGGAGCACTGAACCATTGTGCCACCATGGCTCCTTTACTTGAAGGTTGTTGTTGTTGTTGTTGAGTGCTGTCAAGTCAATTCCTACCCATAGAGACCCTGTATAGGGTTTCCAAGGAGCAGCTGGTGAGCTTGAACCACTGACCTTGCAGTTCAAACAGTTTTGCAGTCTGACGATTAGCCCACAGCGCCACACCAGGCCTGGTAGATTATACTTATTACAGAAGTAGTTTGTATTTTCTTTGTTATATTTTTTATCTGAAATAAGGCCAGATATGAATGCTTCATTCTTTATGATAACTTTTTATCTGCATTTAGATGATACTGTTAACTGGTATTCCAGCAGTGAAGAGGAAGAAGGAAGCAGTGTCAAGTCAATACTGAAAACATTACAGAAACAAACAGAAACTTTAAGGAATCAGCAACAACTTCCCACAGAACTCAGCACTCCTACTGATCCAAGACTTGCTAAAGAGAAAAGTAAAGTACACCAAGTGGTTGACCCTAGACTTAGGACTATCCCAAGGCAAGGCATTAGAAACCCTTCTGAGTCTGCCCCACTGGATCTTAGACTTGCGTGGGATCCCAGGAAACTAAGAGGGAATGGAAGTGGTCACGTAGGCTCTTCTGTTGGTGGAGCTAAGTGTGATTTACGTCACGCAAATGCTGGCACTAATGTCAAACACAAAAGAGGAGATGATGATGAAAATGCAGAAAGAGAACTGAGAGAAAAAGCTGTCTTAATACCTCTGGATTCTTCACCTGGTATAATACTCCAGGATCCAAGGTCACAATTGAGGCAGTTCAGTCACATTAAAATGGATATTGTACTAACCAAACCAAACTTTGCAAAACACATCGTGTGGGCTCCAGAAGACTTACTTCCAGTACCTTTGCCTAAACCTGATCCAGTATCTTCAATTAATTTACCTCTACCCCCTCTTATAGCTGACCAGAGGCTCAATCGGTTGTGGGATACAAAAAGTGATCTTCATCAGAACACAGTGCTCATTGATCTGAAATTAGCAGCCAAAGCCAAAAACAATACAACAAACAGAGAGGTCTACTTAGAACAATTTGGAGACTTGCATAGTTCAGGAAGTAAATTAGGAGATCCCAGGCTGCAAAAAAATTTTGATCCTAGACTTCACAGGTTGCCCCACACAGAGTCTCATCAGATGGTTACAAAGGATTCACATACATCTAAAGGTACCCCTCGTTTAGCAAGATCAAACCCTGGTTCATCACAGCCCTCAGGGCCAGTCACTAGCAGTCCTGGGCCTGGAGTTTTGCCTCCATATGCCCCTAAACTATCATCTTCAGCAGGCCTTCCACTGGGAACTTCAAGTTCAGTTCTTAGTGGTATTAGTTTGTATGATCCCAGGGAGCATGGTTCATCATCTACATCCGAGACAGCAACAGTTTCTTTGGGGGAAAATGCAGAAAACCAGAAAAAAAGTGGTTTAAAAAGTAGTGGCAAAAATGAGCCGTCTCCTGCCGAAGCAATTCTGCCACAAAAAACCACTCCACATATGGAAGTCACTGTCAATGGGCCAGCTGACCCCCAGGCAGAGCTCAGGAGTTCTGGTAAGGTCCAGGCCCCAGCAGTGCACAGTCTTCCTATCCCAGCATTAACAGGCTTAATTAGACCTCAGTACAGTGATCCAAGGCAGGCTAGGCAGCCAGGACAGGTGAGCCCAACCCCAGAGAATGATCCCAATAAAGAAGTGGATGATAAGTCTCTAAAAGAGGTTTTCAAAACGTTTGATCCAACTGCTTCACCATTTTGTTAGCTATTGTGTTACTAAGCAGTTCTTTTCACTCTTCTGACTATTGTAGTTCTCTACTGTTTTGTAACTGGTTTACCTCTATAGTTTATTTATTTTTAAATTATAAACACTTTTCAGCTGCTAGTATTAGAACCACATGAAGTTATATCTTCTAAAGCCTGTGGTATTTTATATAATATTTTTATAACTTTAAGAGACTGTAGTAATTGACATAGAATCCTATATATCATGTTAGCTTCAGTAAAAAGTATGTTTATTGTAAATAAATCATCATGAACTCAACACTCTGCCTGAATATATGCCAGTTGTCTTTCTTAATCAATGTTTAGATTAACAATGACCACTTTTATATGGTTGTTTAGTTTCAAGCAATATGATGTACATTACTTTTGAGACAGTATTTTGGCTAGGATCCTCTCTATTTGTCAACACAGAACTGACAATTAATACATAATGCTAACTGCTAACTAAAATATAAAATGAAATAAACATTTTGAAATCATCATAAGCAGAAAAGTTCTTGTGAAGGGCATCAGTTTGTTAGTATTGGCAATATTATTTGTGTAAATGAAGCATTTGAATGTTATATCTTTTTAAAGTATTTTATTGTATACTGTATAATAGAAGTTTAAAGTATATAAATAGAATGTTTTGCTAAAGTGAAAAATCCCTAAGTTCTCTAATTTTTTAATTTAATTTTTCATATTAAATAGTTATGAGTTTCTGCTGTGTTATGTGGTGATGTTTATGTATTTCAATGTATTTTTGTCTCTAGCAACATAATTTATATTACTTTTTCAAATAATGTAGCTGCAATAATTGTATTGATCATGACTTTGGCAAATTTTAACAAAAATTTAAAAGATCCAGTGAGAGTCTGTAGTGATTATTACATGGTTAATGTTTTAAATTGCCCAGGTACCAGATTTTTACTTCAGTAGCAAGAAAACCAAGAGTCTGCTGGTATAGTCGATTGTATATGGCTGCCAATAAAGAATCTCCTTCAGAACTTGCCCGGCTGGCATTTTATAACAGAGGGGAGTACCTTGTGTTTTTAAGTATTTAATGTCCTCAGAGTTTATTATTTTCCTAACTAGATTGGAAACTGTATTTTTATGAAAAATGACTTGTATTCATTGTTGTGTATTTGTTGCAATATATAAATAATGGCAGCCCTCTTTGTTTTATACATATTTATAACTTAAACCAAATATTATACCAATATTTATATCCTGAACTGGAGGTATACATATGACAGTTATTGCTGGTAACAGCTCTAATAAGTAACTCAAACAGAGCATAACATTATCATTATAAAAGATAATGAAAGTAGGAAAGTTAGGATATTAAAATTTAGCCCAATCAATTCTTAAATGCAAGCAACTACTTTTGAAAAGAGATTTAAAAAAATATATAGCAAAATGCTTCTGTGAGAACCTAACACACATATAGTTTAATAATAATGCATGTCTTCCCTATTCTTCACTTACTATTTTGTAACTTTTGATTTTTGCTGTGATTCTGTGATAAAATGGGGTTGTAGTTAAGTGAGCAAAAACTCTGCCTACTAAAGAGACTTTCTTTGTTAAGTGGAAGGACAGTTATTCAAGGGCATATGGATTCTACTGCTTATACTTTGGTTGTATTGCTGCCTAAAATGGCACTGGATAGCATTTTGGGATTTAAAAATGTAGTTTATAATCCGACAAAGAAAATGTTTTCTAGTTTACTGTCTGAACAAACTTATCATTTATCTAAAAGTTAATAGAATAGATAAAACTGGCAAAAAAGAGAACCATAAGTGATGCTTTGTATTTCAGAGTATAATTTACTCTTTTTACCAGGGTAAAATCGGCTTAGTTTTATTAATTAGAAAATTTAAACATGTATTTAACTCATTTCTGTACTTCATAACTACTTGTGTTATGTAATACAGTCCACATTTTGAAATCATACAAAGAAGATCATTTTGTATAGAGTTGACATTATTATTGCTATTAAGGACTGGCAAATCAGTTCCGATTCATAGCAACCCAAGGCTGTAAATGTTTGTGGGAGCAGAACGCCGCATCTTTCTCCTGTGGAGTGGCTGGTGGACTCCCAGCTGCGAATCTTGTGGTTAGCAGTCTAGTTCTTATCCTCTAGAACTGGGGTGGGGAACCTCTTCTCTGCCAAAATTTATAACATTATTCATGGGCCTTACAAGATTATCAACTTAAAAATTAGCCTGTTGTATTTGGTTAAACATTTAATTAACTCACCCCTTATGTGATGGCTGGGAGTCCTGGTGTGGCGCTGTGGGTTAATGTGCTGGACTTCAAACTTGATGTGAGTCCCAAGGTCAACAGTTTAAATTCACCAGCCACTCCTTGGGAACCCTGTACAGGGTCACTGTGAGTTGGAACCTACTCTACAGCACTTAACAACAACAGTGGGATGGCTGAAACTGCATTTGCCTTGGCAGGGCCAGACCAAATGATTGTGTGGGTTTTGTATGACCCTTGGGACTTGGCAGCACTTACCAACATATGGCCCTTGGGCCTGACATTCTCCACCTCTGCTCTAGAGCCACCACATTCCCCTAAACTCTTATAGAAGAACTTCTTTTAACTAAAAGATTTTAAAGGATGAATTATAAGTAAGGCTTAAAAGTTAGTTCAAATTATGTGATGTACATTTATTCCTTGTTCTTGAGCCCCTATTATATCAGCTACTGAACTTGAAGCTAGTTAACCAAAAAAATTTGGACTTGCTTTAAAATATATTTTTTAAGAAAATCATTAGGTTTAAAATAATTATTTATGATAAGTACTTTTATTGTACTAACTTCAGGGCATATTCTATTACATCTGTCAACAAATTATTTTAATGTTCCTTTTTCTTATAATCTTCACCAAAATTTAGTAAATGACTCTTTCCTTAATAAATAAGCTCCTCTTTAAGGTATTTTCAGAATCCACATCACTTTATCTATACCAGTAAAAGTAATTTATGTTCCTAATCTTAGAAGCCACACAGTTCGAAACAACAGAATTAACTTGTGTGAAAAGAGTTGGACTCATCAATTGTAATGTAATTTATTTATATTGGTTCATGACAAAAGTTCTCTATCTGTTCCCTTTGTTGTTGACTAGAGTAGGATATGTCAGGGTGTTGAATTAGGATACTCTGATGATTATAATTTAGATTGAACAATTATTTTCCCATACCTTACTTTGTTTTTTTTTCCCAAATGCCTGTCTCTATGAATTTTCCTAGTTAGGATCTCAGTTTGAAACTTGAAAATGAATCAAATGTCTGGAGTACTTACAAAATCTGTCTTGATAGTCAAGGGTTGATTCTGTAGACCCTCTGTGCTACTCAACTTTATGTTCCCAACACCAGAATCACAGTGCAGCCAAAGCAGCCTAATTATGAAATTATGAAATGTTTGCTTAGGTGTCTATTTGTCTTTCAACTCGCCAAACCCAAACCACACTAGGGCCTTTGCCCTTGAGTTGACAGATCGATGTGTTACGGAGTAGAGCTGCTCTTTAGGGTCTTCTTGGCTGTAACTGTTAGGGAACAAAATTGCCCAGGCTTTCTTCTTTGTCCTTGCTGGGTGGGTTCGAATGATCTATGTTTAGTTTACTGTTGTTAAGTGCTATTGAGTCAGTTCTGACTCATAACACTGTATAGGGTTTCCGAGGAGTGGCTGGTGAGCTTGAACCACCATATTGCGGTTGAAACCAACCTTCCAGCCCAGCGCATTAACCCACACCACCCAGGGCCCTCCCTTTAACTTGCCATGGGATCTCAGTTTTTCTTACTGCAGGTGGTGGTGGTTATGTGCCATGGAGTCAGTTCTGACTCAGAGCGACCCTGTATAGAGTTTCCAAGGCTGTCAGTCTATATGGGAGCAGAAAGCCTCATCTTTCTCCCACGAACAACTGGTAGTTTCGAACTGCTGATTGAAATAAGCAGCTGGACTCGTAACCACTACCCTACCAGAGCTCCTTTTCTTACTACTACCACCACTACTATTTAATTTGGAGTCTTGGTGTGGCGCTAGAATAAGCTCTAGACTGCTAACCACAAGATAGGCATTTCAAAAGCACCAGCTGCTCTTTGGAACCACCATGCAGGGTTGTTATGAGTCAGAACTGACTGGATGGCACTTAACAACAACTACTTACTTTAACAGTGGAAAAGCAATTGATTAGTAAAAAATATTTAAAATCCTATATGACCTGTCATCTAAGCCACTTGCTGAATTAGACGGACATGGGGGAGAAGTGAATTTATGCAGTCTGGAAGTCTTTAGACTATAAATTCTGCGAGTTTAAAGATAGTAAATTCATATTCCTGTTCTGTATTTATAGGCAGTTTAGCTAAATGTCTATCTAGTTTCTTTTTTTGTGAAATGGGAATGATTTTTGACTGCTCACAAATTTGATGTAAGGATTGAATGAATGATTATTGTAAAATATTTGTAAATAGAAAATTGCTTTATAAATTTCATGGGCTTAATCATTTCTGCCCCTTAGGAGTGCATTGTTAAATGCTGATGAGTCGGTTTTGACTCATAATGACTCAAAATACAACAAAATGAAACACTGCCAGTTCTGTGCCATCCTCACAATGGCTGCTGTTGGCACTTGTTAGTGTACTCACTGTGTCAGTCCAGCTCTTTGAGGGTCTTCCTCTTTTTTTGTTGACCCTCTACCATACATGATGTCCTTCTGCAGGGACTAGCCCCTTCTGATAACATGTCCAAAGTATGTGAGACTTAAGTCTCATGATTCTTGCTTCTAAAGGAACATTCCTTCTTACAGTATAGATTGGTTCATGCTTCTGGCAGTCTGTGATATATTTAACATTCTTCACCAACACCTTAATTCAAAGGAATCAATTTTTCTTTGATCTTCCTTATTGTATAATTTAAAAAAAAACAGCCGTGGTTTGTATGGTTCACCAGTTTAATGAAGTTTCAGATGATGTATACTGAAGACAAAAGAATAACTGAGTTGTTTTAGAGAATACTAACACATCAAGTGAGCAGTATTCTAGATCTGACCACTGGGCCCATTTCATGCTGCTTGGATATTGGTAGGGGGTTAAGGTTACAAGAATGATGTGCTTGCTCAATCAAAGCATGTGTAGATGGGCAGAGTGACCAGCTCATTGTATGTACGAGCCATTGGTTCTTAGAAGCAACAGATATATTTTCTTGTACTCTTAACAATATATTCTGTAGTCATGTCCCATGCAGTCATTCCTGAGTGCCCCCTTAAATAAGGTATCATTTCCTTTGGCTAATGTCAGCAATGCATATTAATTGCTTAGAAGTTTGGAAGTTCCCAGGGACCTAGATGTAAGTCTTGGATTGGCTATCAAAATCTTCATTTGCCTGACATAGGCTTATAGCAGATATTTTCCTCAGCTCACCCCTCTGTGCTGATGGTTGTACCTCAGAGGGGTGCTCTTCAGTCAAGCAGACCATTAATAAGTCCCACCACTTCAATAATTGGATTTCTAAGTGAATAGTTGAAATTATCTTTTCACATATAGTTTAAAGGTACTTGTAATATTAAACATTCCAAATAAAGTTCAGTAAATATATAAGCCATTAATAAACTACAACTAAGGCTAAAATGTGCTGGATTGCAAGGTCAGTTTGAGCTGCAAGGTCGGCAGTTCAAGCTCACCAGCCACTCCTCGACCCTTTATAGGTTCGCTATGGGTCAGAACCAACTCGGCACTTAACAACAAGGCTTCTTTTAGGAACTCTATAAGGTTTGACAGAATGTAACAACCAAGTTGTTCTTACTTTACATGTGGTTTATCATTTATGTAATGCCTTTCTCCCCAAATACCTTAATGTGATTTGAAGAACTAGTTTTAGTGGGTATCAACTCTATACTGCTGAAGTTTTATGTTTGAATATGTTGTCTTCAGCAATAGCTACCAGTTGTAACAAATCCCAAGTTAGCCTGCTTTTCTTGGAAGGGATACAGACCTAACAAGAGGCAATGGGTTGACATCAACATAGTACTTGTAACTTCTGAATTTCAGATAAATACATTATAAACTGTACTTTATGATTTTAAAGGCATGGCTCACCTGTGTCTTCTTTCATATTTCCCCATAGTAACAAACCAGGCTTTACGCACACAGTGGGGACTTTGTTACCTGCTTGTTGATTGTTTCTTCAAGTTCTACTGTGCTTTCACCTATCAGAACAGATGTGATGGAGTCATTCCACAACTGCATTGGAAAGTGTGCAGCTTACACCTCGTTTAGCAGACACGAGGCACCTGCCTTCTTTTTTCTTGCTCCCCTCACCTCCCTAAGCAAGGTAGGATTGTTGTTAAGTGTCATCAAATCGGTTTCAACCCATAGAATCACCAACCTTGTGGTTCAAACCGACTTTGCAGTCCAGAGCATTAACCCACAGCACCACACCAGAATTCCTTATGGCAGCTTTATTTAGGAGTCAGGTTTTTCTACAATAATTCATAACTGTTAAGAGTCCTCCAGATTTCTAAGATCACTTACTTTGTGGTGGAAGTTTGACTAGATTAATATAATTTATTCCTAGAAATCTATAAAGTATTCTTTATATAACCAGAAAACAAATGCATAACCATTCTTATATTTTTATTTAAAAAAATACTTTGCTAATTTCCCCCTTCCTGTTCTCAAAATAGCGACCAAAACTATTAAGATGGGCACAGCCCAACCCAGTGATTTACCAAGAGCATTTAAAATTCTTTTTATCCTGACATAGTGAATAGTAAGTTATGCTTTGAAATCACAGTTGGACTCTTTTTGTGTCTGGTCTTTAACATTGTTCTTTGGAGTAGACCAGTCATGTACCATAGTTAGCAAAATCATCGTGAGCATAAAGAAGATCTTTTTGCTAATTTTGAGGTTGTGAGTTCTAAAGAGTAATATTTTATAGTATTGCTTATCCTTGAATCTTGGTGTT